GATGAGCTCTAAGGTGATGCTGACGTTGCTGGCCGTGGACCACACTTTGAGTAGCAAGACCCTAAAGTCCAGTTTCCCCTGGTACTCCAAGAAGCCATCCTTCCTCACGGGCACTCTGAAAAATGGGGCTCAGGTCTCCAGCATACATGAACCAAACTGCTCACCTAATCACACCCTCCCAGGTCAAGCCATGCCTCCTGCCCTTTGTCCTTTGTGGACTAGAAACTTTCCCTTTTCAGACAAAGGGCCCCACAGCTCCCTGAGCCTGGGAGTTAGAAAACAAATTCTGGATCCTTCTTCCTTTAGCAAGGGTAGCACCCACCTCCAGAACTAAAAGGCCTAACTATGTTTCCAGAAAAGAGGGCAAAGGGGGAAATTAACTGTGTTGCTGCTGACAGTAATGAGGACTAGACTGAGAGTGATATCTCAACAAGCCACCCATATGTGGATGCTGTGTGGGAATGTCATCTTACCTCCAGACAGCTCAGGACTCTTGGTCTGTTCACCTTCTGGGGCACTGGGGCTCCTGACTTTTTTCACTTCCAATCCACAGACCTACAGGGAAGGTAGAATCTTCAGTGGAGGCCACAATTAATTAGCATGAAAGTCACACCTCAGGCCTGCAACCAGCTCTGACTAGAACCCAGCCATGGAGGCAGCCTGTCCAGCCCAAGTTCATGGCCATTATTCTGCTCAGATTGGTTGGTTTCTTTGTTGCATGTTTTGAACTGGAGGATAACTTGCTGGGTTAGTTGGTGGATAACTTTGTAGGTGTGCATTTGCAGTGCCTATTCTCATACACAGTAGGCCTTCCCCTCCCCTCTCCTCCCCTCCCCTCCCCTCCTCTTTCCTCCCCTCCCCTCCTCTCCCCTCTCTGGTGAGAAGGGTTTGGCCTCTGTGGATTCCACCCACCTCTGATCAAAAATATCTGCAAAAAACCTTTATTAAATACAAAATTTATAAGTCACAGTATAACAACAGTTTAAATAGCATTTACATTGTATTGGGCACTATAAGTAATCTAGAGATTATTTAAATGTGCATAGGTTATAAGCACATACTCCACCATTTTTTATCAGGGACTTGAGCATCTGTGGATTTTGGTACCCACACGGGCCCTGGAACCAGTTCTCCACAGATACTGAGGGAAGGATGACTGTGTCTGTTTTTTTTTTCTTGTGACTTTCCAATGACCTACGCTATTAGTTCAGCAAGAGCACAGGGACCACAGCACCTTTCAAATATTAGCTTAAGCGCTTAACTCATGTTTAAGGTAAAGTATCCTTCTGTCAAATCAATCAGTGCGGTTCACCTGGGAACCCCAAGAAGCCAATAGCTTTATTTTATCAAAACATGAAGGAGAATTGATCCTGGTGGGAGGATAACGCTGCCTTTGCGTTCCAGCCCAGGGAGGTGGAGACGCTCTGTGTTGGGTCAGATTAAAGTGAAGGTCCTCCACCATGCTGGAAGCTCTGATTGGGGCATGGGGAGCTGGGGCTGGGGGCAAGGGCAACATAGGTAACCTAAACATTTGTACCCCCATAATATGCTGAAATAAAAAAAAATAAAGTGAAGGTCCTCAAATAGCTAAAGGTGTCTTTGTCTCTTTCCTGGCCCTTCCTCCCCCACCCTCCTCCCTCCTTTTCTTTAAAACCCTCTATCTACCTTTAGAAGCAGCTTTCCAGGAGAGGGGAAGGGAGGCTCTCTGGGGCTCTAGGTGGGAAGGAGGAAGCTGAGTGTTGCAAACCACCAGAGGTGCAAGCTCAGGGAAGACACCTCTTCAGTCTGGAGAGGGGTGGGAGGGAGCAGGGTGCTCAGGAGTGGGAGGTGATGACAGACGGTAGGATAGGAGCTCTGTGGTTGCCCATAGAGATTGGCAATGAAACAGTTAAAATCAGAATGTGCTCTGTGCCTGGGGGAAGGGCAGCTCAGCTGTGGGGCTGGGGAGAGGAGGAGGGAAGAGCCCCAGGGTGCCCAGGCCTGGCTCAGGAACTGAGGGAAGCTGTGGGCACCTGGGGCAAGAAGGAGAGTGGGAAGCTGGGCGGGGCCTGCCCCAGCAGTGTGCAGGGGGTGGGGGGCAGGCTCACTTCCTTCCTTCCAGCTCTTAGCCAGCCACTCCTGTTTCCTTTCCTTTGGGGCCTCCTGGATACACACAAGTCTCAGTTTGTGCATTCTTCAGCACACCTCCATTGACAGGTGAGGAAACTGAGGCCCACAGGGACTTTCTTTCCCTGGCACTTTCTGAAATCCTACACACCCAAGGTGCCAGAGATACAGACGTGAATTAGACATCAAACTCAGCAGGAGTGTTCAGCCAAGTCTAGTGTATGTGACTTGCCCGGTGTCATACCCCGAATTAATGCCATGGGTTAACCCAGAGGGTTGGCTTCGGTCTCAAGACGTCTCCACTCCCCACCACTGTCACTGCTGCGGTGTGACTGTGCCACCATCAACCCAGAGCTTCCCACAGTTCAGTGTGCACGTCGGTCACCCAGAAGCTTGTGAAAGTACAGATTTTGCTTTGGCAGATCGGGGGCTGGGTTGAGATTATTCGGCTTTCTAACCAGTTCCAGGGCTGCCAGTCCATGGTCCACACTTTGAGTGCCAAGGCCTCAATCGACTGTAATCAATCAATAGAGCTGGCGATTGAGAAGGGTTCAGAATGGGTCCCTTCTCAGCAGTGCTGGGGTGGAGGAAAGAGGAGTAAGCCATCTGGAACTGATCAGCATGCCTCCCGTGGGCAAGGGGGCAGGGGGACACACATGCCAGCACGTTGCGTATTTGCCACTCCAGGGTGAGATGCTCTCTTCTTGCTTTCCTTCTGTGTCAAAGATTATAAGGGTTCCTCAATCCTAGACCCTATGGTGGTATGGTGGGGGAATGGTTACACAATTCTGGCCTGCAAAGAAGTCAGAGGAGCTGCCTGCCTCTGTGGTATGATCTCGGGAGAGCCAGAAATGTTTTCCTTTAACTTCTTTTAACTCACCCCCTCACACCCCACTTGGTCAGTGGTGGACAGTTTCCTTTTCTTTGAAAATGCAAGTGTTCCAGAAATGGCATAGTAAGCCATTGTCAGACATTGTCATCACAGTGTGAATGGGTCTATCAGTTCTCCACAAATAGAAATCTTGGTGGGACCTGGAGTCAGGTCATCTGAATCCTAGTCTCGAGCCAGCCGCCAGTCTGCTGTGCAACCTTACACAGGTGGCTCAGCTTTCCTGGGCCTCGGCCAACGCTAGTGTGCGATGAGGGGGGTTGACCAGGTAAGTGCTAAGGTCCCTTGAGAACTCAGTATTTCATCAGAAACAGTGAAAGGCGGTGTACAACTGCAGAGGGGACTACCCTGGCCGTTAAGGTAGAGGAGGTATGAATTGCTGGCCTGCGAAATGGGACTTTTCTTCCTAAATGTGCTGACATATATTCTGTTAAGGCCTTAGAAGAGCACCAGGCACATGGTAAGAACACAGTGAAGGTCAGATGTCGTTACCACCTTGCAGGACTGTGGCGAGGGAGGTCTCAGTGGAATGACAGGTGCGAGACCCATGCCTGCACACAGTAGGTCCTCGAGAGTGCAGCGGGGCACACAGTGGGAAGGCCAGCTGCAGACAGTGGCTCTGAGCTCAGGGGCCCAGGGGGAGGCCAGGGAGGGGTGTCCGAGAGCAGCCTCAACTTCTGATTTGGCTGCAGGCCAGCCCAACTCTCCAGAATTCCCTCTCTAGGACTTGACGTTTCTGTCTTTTTACAATCAAATTTTACTTCACGTGAGAGCTACTCAAGCAAGTTATTCAGGTGGTCAAGGCTAAAAATATACAACTTTCACCGGGAACACCTAGGTAAAAAAGCCGGTGTCTATGGGAGGCGGGACGTGGGGCAGGCGTAAGCAGAGACGGGGTGAAGTGTGCTTCGTGGAATAACAGCCAGCTCACTCCTGCGGCAGGGCCCGCTGTGCCGACAGTCGCAAAGAATGAGTTCCCTCCCTGGAGGCCACGGTCGCTCTCGCCCCCACCCTGCCGTGTTTCAGAAACAGAAGTTTCTGTGGTCACATGTGACCTGTTCTCTTCTCCCCCCATCAAGTCTGGTTCGCAATGAGCCTATTTCTAAATGCAGGTCCCCACCCCCATCTTTGGATGCTTCCCGCCCAGCTGTGATGGTTAATTTTGTGTGTCAACCTGGCTAGGTCACGGTGCTCAGTTTCTGGTCAAATACCAGCCTAGATGTTGCTGCGAAGGTATTTTTAGATGTTATTATATTAACATTTACGATCAGTGGACTCTGAGTAAAGCAGATAACCCCATATTACGTGAATGGGCCTCATCCAATCAGTTGAAGGCCTTAACAGGAAAAAAGGCTGAGGTGAATTCTGCCAGCAGACGTCCTTTGGACTCAAACGGCAGCTTTAGCCCTTCCCTGGGTCTCCAGCCAGCAAGCCCACCCCACACACTGTGGACTTGCCAGTCCCACAACTCCTGAGCCAGTTTCTTAGCACTCTTTTTCTCTCTCTCTATAGATATAGATACATAGACATCGATATATAGATAGATGGAGATGGATGGATATATACTGTGGATATATAGACATAGATGGATAACATCTATCTGTATATAGGCATTTTGTATAGATATAATAATTTAATATACTCACATCCTGTCGGTTCTGTCTCTCTGGAGGGCCCTGACTAACACCCCATCCGAGATGGCCACAGAGCCCTCAGGAAACAGCCCAGAGACAAGGGCCAATGACAAACTGATGAGGGCTATTCTCTTCATCAGCCGAGGGGCAGTTGGATGCTGATGCGTAAAATTCTGAAGAGCCTGGGCACAGGAGCGTGTCATTGTCTGCCTGATGACATTTTGCTTGCATTAAAGTGCCATAGGAGTGGGGCCGTGCCATCTCAAATTCCCGACTGAGTATATGTCCTGGGTGTCATTTTTCACACCAAGCTTAAAGACTTAATTTATTTTAAAAGTGAGCTGGTTTCTCAGTTCTCTCTTCTTCCATAGGAAACCATCAATATTTGCTCTAGGCTTCTGAGGAACCACACCAAAGCAAAGCAATCTGGGGACTGCTCTTTGTCAAATGATCATTTTCTAGCAAGAAGGCCAGAAGAGGCAGGATCCATGAAGGTAGGGGGCAGCCTCTATGGGCCCTTGTTTCTCATGTTTAAAATGGGCACAGAGATGGTTGTCATTGTTGTCATCATCATCATCATCATTGTCATCAAGGAAGTACTCAGAATCCACCTGGAAAGAGAGAGAGCAGCGATCATAGAAATGTTCTCTTTCCTTCTCATTCTCCATCCCTTCCTCCTCTCTTGTCATTGCATGCTCTTCAGAAGATAGAAAACACTTGCTCAGGACTAAGCTGGGAGCCAGCCACTAATACAATATTTAAGCTAAGGTGTGAGACTTCTGGGCCAGCACGTTTTAAGGTGTTCTCCTCCACCCCTACTTCATATATTTCTACTTTACCAGTGCCCGAGTAATTCTAGACCCCTTGCAAGGTTTGGAAGGGGCTGGGGATAATCTTGCTGATATTAAAGAGGAGACCAAGGAGGACAATGGGGAACTTTTGGGCACTGTAGTAAACATGATTAGGGAAATGCTTTTAATAGGAATGGGGCCTCTCTGCACGCATCAAATCACAGGTTTAGAGCCAAGAGACTTGGGTGCTAATCCCAGCTCTGCAAGATCACTAAACAGTGCAAGGTCACTAAACAGATAGAAGCCTTAATTTCCTATCTTGTAAAATGAGGATGATATTATTGCCCTGGACACACACACACACACACACACACACGTGTGAGCGCTCACGCACACTCACTACTTTATACCAGTGTTTCTCAAAGTAGGGTTCCAGGATCACCTGCATCACAGCCCTGAGTTGCTTGTTAACATGCAGATTCCAGGGCCTTAGCCTGGCCTTTATTGAGTTAGATTTTCTGGGACCAGGAATCTACATTTTAACAAATGACCCAGGTGACTCCTAGTTTGAATGCTGCATTTTGACCCAATCATTCATGTTTATGTTATTCCACTCACTGAGATGATGAAACCCCAAATAATTCTAGTTCTGTTAGATCAGTGAAGAATTGTCCACACACAAGCCACCGTTTTTGTTTATTTTTATTATTTTATTTTATTTTATTTTTGAGACAGAGTCTCGCTTTGTTGCCCAGGCTAGAGAGAGTGCCGAGGCATCAGCCTAGCTCACAACAACCTCAAACTCCTGGGCTCAAGCAATCCTGCTGCCTCAGCCTCCAGAGTAGCTGGGACTACAGGCATGCGCCACCATGCCCGGCTAATTTTTTCTATATATATTAGTTGGCCAATTCATTTCTTTCTATTTATAGTAGAGACAGGGTCTCGGTCTTGCTCAGACTGGTTTTGAACTCCTGACCTCAAGCAATCGGCCCGCCTCAGCCTCCCAGAGTGCTAGGATTACAGGCGTGAGCCACTGCACCCGGCCAAGCCACTTTTTTAAAAAAAATAGTAAAATATAAATACCTTTATTGAATTCCAGGAGAAAATTGTGTTTTTGATAATATACTCTTCTGAACAGAGGAATGTTGTAGAGTGAGTGGGAAATTTCTCAAATGCTTCACTGTTCCTTGTATCTACAGCCTTTGCAATGTGGCCTTGCTGTGTCTGGCATCAGAAGGTAAAGTCCACTTCTTTTTGCCTTGAATTTGGGCTGCACTGGGACTTGTTTTGGCCAATCAGCTGCAGGGAAAGCTGAGGCCTGAGGAGGTCCTGCAATGCTCCTGCCCTCTCAGGCCCCTGATGCTGTGGTGTAAACAGGCCCAGGCTGGCCTGCAGGGGGAAGAGAAACCTCACAAGGAAGAACCCCCAGCTGGCACAGCCCTGGCACCCTGGAAGTTTACAGCCAGAGAGGAGCCAGCCCCCAAGCAAATGAGGAGGCACAGGCAGGATCGGCCGAGCTGCCTACTGGATGGACCCACTGAGTCCGGGAGTGCTGCTGGGCCAATCTGCAGACTGTGAGCAACAGCAAATGCAATTGTTTCAAGCCACTGAGCTTTGAGATAGTTAGTAATGCAGTAACAGCCAATTCCTACAAATGTCAGTGTGAAAGATGACAAAGCTGCAACTTAAATGTTAATATCTGGGCATATTTTGTCATCTTTCATCCTGAAATCAAAAGTTGGCAGCAAAAAAAATGGGGCAGTCTTCCTCCTGCTTGGCTACTTGTGGTGGCTTATTGGCCACGGTGACCTGCCTCACCCATGCCACCTTGCCCCTGTTCTAATACATCCATTTTGCCAATGATTTCCCCAATTCCATTGGTTCAGAAAGCTCTGGATGGGGCTGTGCTGGCTACTTCCCAATGTCGGGTTCCACTGTCTCCTTGCCTTGCCCTCTTCTCTCTGCAGAAAGTGGAGGTGGTCTAGGCTTAAGCATCTGCCAAACCAACAATGAAACACCAAGCACGCTGCTCTGAGGAAGGAATCGTTTACGAAGAGCAGCAATCATCCCAGAAATGAGTCTCATCTGGAGGTGAGTCTCAGATTTCACCCCTAGTCAGAGACACTTAAGGAGCCAAGTGTGATGTAAACAGCATATTCAACATTATGTAAATTTTTAGTATCATAAAGTTTTTAAAAAGCGATTAGTTTTTGCAGTAATAAACCACCAAAGGTAAAGCTCAACAGAAATTTTTTGGGGTGCAGAAGATATACAAAAGATGTAGTGATTTTCAAGTGGGGGCCACTCAGAATCTGAGGATGGGATGGGAAAGTAGGAGATTTGTACATTAAAGAGCAGGGGCCCGAGTTACAAAAGTTTGGAAGCTCTGTCTTAAAGGACTAAATTGTACTGTGTATCCCTCTCTCAGCAAGGTTTGAGTGGTCTCCCTATCATGACACAGAGTGGGGCTTTAATAATGGAAACAATAACTGCATTGTATATACCAGATGGTTTCTGTGAACCATAGCTCTTGCCTTTAGTCTAATGACAGCCCCGAAATGTACTGAAATCCATTAAACATCCCTCCTGCAGATTCTAACTAAGAACATTTGAATTTCAAGTGAATACCAAACTTGGTCAAAATTCACCCAGACCTCTCTGCAATGGGCACACCATGCAAACTCTAAGTGCTTCCCACCAGCTCCCAGAAAAATCTCCAGAACCAAGAGTTAACCCCACTCCAAGGAGTTGCATTGGCTATTTGGCAGCTTAGGTGGTGAAAAAGCTTGTCTTTGCTTTTTCCTCAATTAGATGGGAAGCCACTTGCAGAGTTTCACATGATCTACCAAAGGTCTCAGTTGGAATCCATCCCACGGGCTGCTTCCACGCAAGTAGTCAAACAGGAGGAAGCTATGAGGATGGCGTTAGGGGACGGAAGATCACCTGCCGGTGCACAGAGGTAACAGCATGGATGAGCCAAACTGTGCTTCCGAGAGGGCGGGAGCAGGGAGGGCAGATGTCCAGTGTCTGGGATTCCTGGTGGGCATTCCTATTGCCAAAAATGCCAGACACCCAAAGGGGGAAGCTGCCATGCTGGGGGGAGGGTGTTGGGACAGAGATATACAATATGGCCCTGAGTGTCCTTGGGTTGAGCAGATGGTCTTAAGGTGGCAAGTTTACTTGGGGCCTGACTGCATTGCTAAATTCAGGGAAAATCCAATTACATGGCCCTGCAAAGGGATGAAGAGGTCATGCTCCATACTTACGGCCCCGGGAGACCTCCCTTTTTCCTCACCTCTGTGTGTGACAGTGCATGCACTCCCCTCCCTGGGCCAAGTCAGTCCAGACCCTAGCTGCCTACAGTGACCTTCCCGTGGCCTGTCTACTGGGAGAGGCAATGAATGAGAATCTGGGGACCATGAGACAAGTGTGTGGAAGTGAGAACACGTGGTGTGGTCCATTCTCAATGACTTGCCCTGGGGTTAGGTGCAGACACCCTCCTTCCATGGCAACTTTCTAGATAGCTTACCTTCTGTGACAAGTTCACTCTAAAAGTTCCTAAATCTGAATTTCTAATGTCTGCCAACATCCCTAGAGTCAACTTAACACAGTCGTTTTTCTAGTAGAGATAAAGATTTGGGGTGTCACCCAAGCACTCCCATCAACCTTTTCTAAGGTTGTTGACAGCTTTCTGCTGGGCTGCATCTGTGGCTGTACTGGAAATAAACTGAACTCTCTGGGCTCAGGTTTTAATAGAGTCAATTACATTTGAAATTAGGAGAGAAGGAAGTTAGACATATTGAGAATCAACCATGAGCCAGGCACTATTCTAGGTCTTGAGAATACAGAATCTAAATTGGAATTTAAAACTGGATTCAAATTTACATAAGAACGGGGCAATGCAGATAATTGGTATAGGGACTGCAGACATTTGGGCAGACTTGAAGACTCCACTGGGGGTGGGACAGATGTGGAGCTGGGTGGAGCAATTCTTCATATGGATGTCATCTTTGCTGGTGGTGGCATTGTTAAGTGCCATTTTCCAGAGGAGCCCAGCGAAGACCTCTGCTGTGTTTTCAGACCACGAGGACATTTGGTAAGCTGCTCTGAGAAGTTTCCTCTGCTGTGGAAGCAGAGGGGCTGTTGATAGATTTCTGGAGGAGGGACTGTTGTCTGTTCCCTTCGCTTGCCCTACTCAGAAAAATGTTCAGATTTCTTTTTAAGGCGTTGCATGTAGGATCATTCTTGTTGCAAGCTATGCATATGTATCTGTTTAATTTTAACTCGAGCTCTATACCAAAAGGCAAGTTCATTTACTCAGAGCCTAGACAGAAGGCTTTCCCAGTCTTGACACCTTGCTTATTTGCTACTTAAAGTCTTTTGGAAGAAAAGAACAGATTTTTGCATTTTGTTCCCTTTCCTATTTCAGGAATTTTTTTTTTAAATCCACACAACTGTCCTAATTGGAAGGGATTCTTGATCTATTTCACTGCAGTCTGTTTATTTCTGGTAGGTGTCCAGAACACTTGGCCCCTACCCCTGCTGAGGCTGCTTTCCAACAACATCCCAACTCTGTTCCAGAGCAGTTGGGAGCCCACCACAGCCCAGGAATACCCACACAGCCCCGGGTGGCATTCAGGGCTTATGTCTCTTCTCCGGGGCCTGCATTCTGCTTCTCTTTTAGGTCCAGCCTGGCTGCCCTGCCACATCAGCATCCCTCCATCTTCTCCTTTCAGGCCACCCAGCTCATCTTACTCTGTGCAGGGCTGCCCTACCCTGCTGTGTCCACACTCTGGAGCTGGGAGATTGGGGTGTCCAAAGTCTACTCTGGAAGCAACTAGAGCCTCCTTAGTGTGGTGCATGAGCCCAGGCCAGCTCTAACCTGCACAGAGCTGCTTTAAGTTAAGGACTTGCATCATTAGAAGGTACCTGTTAAAGGCGAGTAACTCAGGCTGGAACAGGGCCAAAGCTGGAGTCCTAAGGTACACATGAAAAACAATGCTTCTCCGTAAATACCTTATGATACAGATGGAATCAGCATCAAGAATAGCCTCAGGGATTGCAGTGGGGAGTGGAGAAGCCACCAAGACAACCTGCAGTCGTGGTGGGTGTTTAAAGAAAAACTTTAGACAAAATAAATGTAACAGAGTTTGTTGGAGCAAAGAACAATTCACGAATTGGGCAGCATTCAGAACCAAAAGAGGTTCAGGGAGCTCCACTGCAGCAGTGTAGGCAGTGTGCTTTGATAGGCTAACATGGAGGGAAGACCAATTATGTTTGATTGGTTAGAAGCCTCCAGTTAGAGATTACTTAGGGGTTTCTGGTTGGTAAAATCTCTAGATTTGTTTTACTGTTTACATCAGGTTTATGTTTGCTTATGTAGCAACTTAAAGCACTGAGCCACCATGATCTAATGGCCTCTCAATTAAAATGACTTTTTAACATGGGGAGGAGTGGTTGGATCCTTAATACGAGGTGGCAGAGAAGGACCCTAGAGATGATCTAGACCAGAGGTGGTATACCAGTGGCCTCCAGGTATGTTCTATGTGGCCCACAGCATGTGTATGTGTGTGTGTGTGTGTGTGTATAAATGTGTGTGTTTAAACGTGTGTGTGTGCATGCACACATTTTCCTGTTAGTTGATGCTGAATGCTTTTAGGTGGCACAGAGTTCTCTACTTTGCTACAGCTCCCACCACTCCTGAGTTTCCTCACTGACCTCCTCTTCCCTACAGCATATGATGCGTTACCTGTTGGAACAGTGGTGCAGGGCCCAGAGAGAGGGAAGAAAGTGGCAGGGGAGGAACAGACCTCCATCATGCCTTTACTGTATCAATACTTTACCAAGAGCCTTGGGAAGAATGGCTGGGAAGCTCAGCATCAATTTCCCCAAATTATCAGACTTGGAAATGAGCATGGTGGTGATGCTTCCTTTTCCTCATGGAAATCACACACCGCTTCAGGGAGTTTCATTTGCATTGAAATTTAGAGACAGATATAATCCAAAGATTCCAAAACATGTGTAAGCGCTGCCAAGAGCAGAAAGCTCACAGGAAGAGTAGGTGTGTCTGGGGAGGCAGCGGCAGCAGAGCTTAGAAAGCACAAGCCAAAGTTCCACTTCCTGAGGGCGAGACACACACCAGTCCTTTGTTTGCACGGGCTGGGAAGGAACTGGAGCTCCTAGGACTGGCACCAGAAGCCCTCAGGGACCCGGTTTGATTCAGAGAAGCTGAGGAGGCAGAGCTTTATAAAGGATCACACCATATTTTCAGGAAGTTGTCTGTCTCCATGGAAACAGAGAAGGGGAGGTCTTGTGGGGATTAAGAATTCTGGAAGATTGTCCTCGTCCCACTCCAGTTAGAACACCTAATAAAAAGTTGATCTAGAGTAGTCCAACCTGTATGCTGTATGAATAATTTAAAAGAAGATGGAAAAACCTTGATACAAACATACTATAAGACACAATGAGCAACAAATCATGTCAACAGAACATGCACCAGAAAAAGGTGGTTTGAAAGGGATGAAAATATGATCAAACATTCCACCATGAATTAGAAACAAAACAAAACACCTTCACAAGGCAATTTGATCTCTAAAGGAAAACCACAAAGCACCAAAGCAAGGAACTCAAATAAAAGATGACAAGGTGATGAGAGATGTTGAGACAGGATTAGAAGATTCAAGAAAGAAGCAGAAGGAAGTAAAGGGAGAAAAGTCATTGCAGAAAGTACCATCAGAGAAGCAGGGGATGGGGATGTGACATGAGAGCTCCACGTAATAAAGACAGGGAGCTGAGATGAGAGGGAAAGTGATAGCTCAGCAGGGAGGAAAAGGAAAGCAACACATGCAACATTGGAGTCCCCAAAGAAACCAAAACAACACAGTGCAACATGTGTTTAAAAATATAATCTCCTGAAATAAAAAAACATCTCCTGAAATAAAACAAGACTCAAATCTGCTTATTGAATGTTCACACCACTTACCAGGGAAACCGGATTTAGGACGGTCTCCACCTGAGACACAGCCTGGTAAAGTTATTGGACTTAAAGGAAACATCCTTTGGGCAGTAAGGCACAAAATATTAGGTCACTTACAAACAGGAAAAAAGGTCAGGTTGAATTCAGACTTCACTGAAACAACACTCAACTTTAGAAGAGGATAGAGAAACATTAAAAAGATATTTAAGAAAAGTACAAACTAAGACTTTTATGTCATCCAAGCTGTTTGACAATTATAAAGGACATAGAATATTGTTTCGAACATATAAGAACTTAGAAAGTATATCGTTCTTGTGAATCCTTCTTGAGGAAATGACCAGATTATGAACTCTGGACACACTGAGAGTCAAGTAGAGACGCTTTAGCCAAAAGTCTGACTGAAGTATTGATTATATTTGGGCTCAGCTCGAAAACTAAATGTAATGTGTCTGTTAGCATAATATAATAGCATGTAAATCTTCCATGTTCTGAAGATGTAGAAATAATACAACTAACAAATTGGAATGGGAAAGGGGTGGAGAGGGTGGGAAGAACAGTAATTGCTGCATTGATAAAGTCAGGGAGACAAAGGAAATAATTTAAAGCTAAAAAATCAAATAGTAGACACATAAATACATTTGAGAGTCCAAATTAAAAATTAGCAAAGATAATATTATTGACTGAAGCCAGGAAGTGCAGGAGAGGTAGAAGAAAGGGAAGAAAATACATATGAATTTTATTATTACTCAGTACTATTTAAAAAGCAGATGGCCAGGTGTTCTATAGGATAATGTAACTATAAAGATAATCATTAGAACAATGTTCAAATCCTCCTAAATATCAGAACTTAATTCTCTTCTTATCTCTCCAGGCCTTTTTTCCTTTCTTCTCCTCTCTTTCCTCAATCTGTTCACCCCCTAAAAAGCAAACAGACCTTATATTGAAAGATTTTAAATAACTGTATTCAGAAAACAAAATAATGTGACAGACCTACAATCAACTCATCTATCATATCAATAAATATAAATGGGATTAACTCATCCATTAAGATCAATGATTTCCACATGGTATCATAAAGCAAAATCTAATTCTATGCGGTTTAAAAGAGACATACCTAAAACAATTGAACCATAAAGGTTGAAAATGAGAAGGATGGACAGAGGTGTGCCCCGGCAAGTGCAAACCAAAAGCAAGCATTACCAGTTTACCTTCGAAGAAGAAGAAATTCAGTCCACAAAAAAAAAAAAAAAAGCATGAAATGAGACAAAGAAGGGAGCATTATAATGCTAAAGGATACATTGCACAACAAAGATAGAATAGTTAATGAATGTCTATGCATAAAATTGCATAGCAACAATATTCATAAGGCAGAAATTACAGAAGATATAATGAGAAATAGAAACACACTCATAGTAGGAAACTTTTCAAAGCTATTAATTCATGTCAGATCAAATAACAAAAATAAGTGGAAATAAGAAAGTTGATCTGATTGATATACACCAAATTCTGTATCCTGGAAATAGAAAATTTACCTTCTTTCAATGGGGTTAATGAAACATCCATGAAAACTGATCACATAATTGTCCATAATGAAAATTTCCACAAAAGTAGAACTACTACAAGGAAAATCCTCTAATCATAATATGATTAAATTAGACATTGTTAAAGACAAAAAGATCCCTCTATTAGAATTTTTTTTTAAGCAGAAATAACTCTCTCAAGCAACTGTTACTTCAAAAAAGAGATTTTAGAAAACAATGACAATTGAAAACATTATCACAGAACCTGTGGGTTATAGCTGTAGCAGTGCTCAAAGGGACATGTTTATCCTTAAATATTTATGTCAATAAAAACAGAAAGAGTAAGACAAATCATTTTATTTTATTTTTTATATATATTTTTTTATTTTAGTGTATTATGGGGTACAAGTGTTAAGGTTACATATATTACCCATACCCCCCTCCCCCCTCGAGTAAGAGCTTCAAGTGTGTCCATCCCCCAAACGTTGCACATCTTACTCGTTGTGGTTATATATACCCATCCAAATTATTTTAAACATCTAGCTCAATTTTTAAAGCCCTGATTATTTTTAAACCCAATCTTCAACCTTAATGTGTTATCTTAAAATAGATTCATGGGGGTAGAATCAATGTGCTACAAGCTGCACATACTTAAAACACATAACTCTGTGAGTTGTGACATGGACAGCCACCTGTGAAAACATCACCACAGTCAAGACAATGGACATATCCATCAATTGCCCCAAAAAGTATTCTCATGTGCTTTTGTAATTCCTCCCTCCTGCCTCTTATTGTCCTGGCCCTAGACGATCACTGACCAACTTTCCGTCAATATAGATTAGTTTGCATGGTCTAGAATTCTAAATAAATAAAATCACAAAATACATATTCATTTGTCTAGCTCCTTTCATTCAGCATAATTACTTTGAAATTCACTGAAATACTTACAGATGTGATGATACAATGTCTGGGATATACCTCAAAATTATCTGGGGGTCTGGGGAGCTGCATGGGTAGAAGTAAAGTGAACTAAGTTTGGCTACAAATTGATAATTACCGAAGCTGGGTCATGAACACAAGAGATTCATGATACTGTCCTGGCTACTTATGTACATGTTTCAAATTTCCTGTAAGGAAAAGTTAAAAAAAAAAAAAAAAAAAAAAAAAAAACTTCTGTTCCACCTTGCTCCTCCTGTGCTATTTTATCCTATACAACTGTATGGTTTGCCTGAAGTCCCAACCCCTAACGGTAATCAAAAAAAATGGCCCTGAAACTAAACCCTTGAAGCCTCAAAAACCAAAAAATTTTTTGCTGCAGGACTCTAGAACAGTGGATCAATGCTACTTAAACAAATCCTCCATTCAATTTAAGTTTTTGAAGCACCAGTTGCTAGACATCCTGGCTATCCATGCCCGGGGAGGGATGTTTGAGCCGAATGGATGTTTTCTTATAGACACCAGCAGGTGACATAAGCACCTGATGGCAAAGCCTCCTCTGAGTGGGATGTACTTGCAGGACCTGAGGACTCTACGTGCAAACTCGGCAGTCTTGTTTCTCAGGTGAGGGAAGCCTGAGGAAGGATTGTGGGCCAGTGGTAGGGTAAATAGTTACTGTCAATCAAATTGAGTGATTAGAAGAATATAAACAGTGAACTATGATGCACATGTATTACTTTTTCAATTAAAATGCTAGTAAAAGTAGTAAAATCAAAACAACAAAAAGAAACAAGCCAGGAATGTGCTCAAACTTCCTTTGGTGCTAATGAGAATTTTTGCCTGTCAAGGAAAGCCAGCCAACTCTTCCTGTGATAGCTAATGGTTCTATGTCCTAGTTTCCTCCCTGAGAAAAGGGGAAATGAAGATTTGCTTAGAGTGTTTAACATGTGCCAGACTTGGTTATCTCTAAGTAGATTGCATTTGTGGAATGATTGGTGTGGTAGACTGCTATATCTGTAGCTCCCGAGGAAGCCTTCTGGTATTTTCCACAGTGCCTCTGGGCTCAGCCATGTGACTGGCTATGGGCAAAGGGACATCAGCAGGAGGAATGCAAGCAGAGGCTTGGTAAACTTTTGCACGGTGGGGCTTGTCCTCTTGGAATGCTCATTCCTGGAGCTTCCTTACAGCCATGCTGTAAGGAAGTCCACGACAATCAGGTAGAAAGACCATGCAAATTGAACAAGATAGCCCAGCCTTTCAGCCAACCCCAGTGAAGCACCTGTCACGTGGGCTGGGCTCTCCAGGACATCCCAGACCCCTCACTGCAGAAGAAACTTCCAGCTGAGCTCTCTAGTCAATCCGCTGAATCATGAGGAATAATAAAATGGTTCTTTTAAGCCACTAAATTTGGAGTGGTTTCTTACACAATAGTCGATAACTGAAAGAGTCTGGATATACACAATTGTTTCACTGTCTCCAGATAGTCAGTGAAAACTTGCAGTGGTGAGCCACAGGTTAGGAGAGTTATTCATGAAAACAAAACTTCTACAACTACCAGGATAATTATCTGCTTTCAGCACGAGGCTAGATCTTTGAAATTCCTCCCACACCTAGCTTTCCTGGAACACATCTATTGTGTGGTGGCAGCTGCCCAAGAGATGGCATGCCCGGGGATGCCCGGGAAGAGGCTGCTGGAAAGGCCCGTGGACAGTGGGCATCGATCCGGGGTAATGTCGCCCACTGTGGCTTCTCAGCATAATAAAACGCCACAGTGGGGTCCACGCTGTCCTGCTGAGCCCAGGTCAGCAGGCCCAGGTGAGTGGCTCAGGGCAGCGCGGCAAAGAGGAGAAAAGCAGGTCCAGACAGGGGTGGCTGTTGGAACTTCCCGCCCTGGAGTGAGCCCACTGCAGGTCTGGGACAGGAGACCTCTAGACACCTGGTTAGGGAATGAGCTCAGGCATCCCCCCAGTGGGGGATGGGAGACGCTTCACATCTGTGGAGGCCACAAACCCCCACCCTGGGGGCCCGCGCCGCAGCACATGCAATGGTCGCCACAGGGCCACGCCACAGAAGGAGCACGGAATAATTCCCTGAAAGCTCTGCCTTTCGCCGCTGTGCAATCATTTCCTGTCTATATTCTTTTCCACAGCGAGTGAAATTGTCCCAGCTCACCGAGGTGGGTGCAAACAGACCCCGCCCACCATTTCCTGGGTGTGGGTGCTGCGGGCAGATGCCAGGAGGGATTTAGAAAGCAGCCGAGCTATTTCGAGTGGCAGGATTTGCCATAATGCCAAGGCAGCAATATGTCTGCCCATGCGAAGTTCCCACCATCCAGCCACTGCTCTCCATCCGGGCGGTGCTCGCGCTGTGTGAATCCTCCTTTCCGGCACGTTCCTTTGTGAAGTCACTCTGCCATTCCCAGCGCGCCGTGGGGCCTCAGCTCTGGGGAAGGCGCTCTGAGCCCGGCCGCATCTCGCGCCTGGCCAGGCTGCGTTCACATCCCTGCGTGTTTTCGCCTCCTGGGCTTGTGTCAAAGGTGGGCAGGACAGGGGTGACGTCGTCAGCACATCTGCGGGAAAGTCTGGCATTGCCAAGAAGGCTCTAGATCTGCTCTGCCCCCAACAGAAAACCAAGCAGAGTGGCCGAGGGGGCCAGGCCAGCAGTGCTGGGAGTGAGTGTGCATCAGGAAAACGAGGTCATTCTGAGAAGAATGGAAGGCTATTTTGGGGGAAAGTAAAGGCAGAACGGATGTCAGTAGACAAGCCAGGACAGACCTCCAGTAATATGTATATATATTTTTTCTCAGTTTTGAGAATTTCTTGGAGCTTGGAAGCAGGGCCTATTTTTAGTGTCTATTGTGTGAGGCTGGGGCAGGGAGGTGGGAACTGCAGTTTTCTTTCGACAATGATTACATTTTAAATAGGGAAAGAAGGTAATGAGGGCAGAAATAATAACCATTTTCAGGCCTCAAAATTCAGGGTGTTTGAAACAGGGTTTTCTAAAATGCCAGCCTCGTGGAAGAATCGTTTTTCCTCCTGGCCTTTCATCCAAGGCCGAGGAACCGATGACTCGCGCTGGCCTCCCTGCTTTCGTCCCGTGCCTTGCTTAGGGTTCTAGTTTTCACTATGTGACGTGAGAGGGGAGAGGGGGAAGCAGCCACCCACCATGGAGATTCTCAGACTTTGATGTGCCTCGGAGTGGCACAGGGGCTGGGTCAAGTGCAGATTCCCTGGCCCCGCTCCAGAGGATCTGGTTCTGTTGGGCTGGGAGGGGCCTAGGAATCTGAATATGGCTTTTTCCCCCAAAAAACCAAGTGTTTCCAAGGGATTGGGTTGTGGAGGCTTCCTGGACCCTGTTTTGAGAAATCCTACCTTGCAGCCAATGACTCTATTAAATATACTCATGAATTCATGAACTTGAGGGAGTGTGAGATGTTTGGAATGAGAAGGTCCTGACCGTCAGATTGGATAAGGCTAACAGGTGACATGGGGCAAGACCATAGACTCCAGATTCCAACTGACCTGACAGAAGCTGAGTTTCACAGGCTGTTAGCTGGATGGCTGTGGCCGCTGTCACAGCCCCACCTAGTTAAAACAGTCCCTAACTCAGATAGCCCATCTGCCCCTTCCTCATCTTACACTGGATTACAGCAAAAAGGATTCCCTTCTTCCCCCTTCAAGAAACAAAGATACTGCATGCAGTAGCCTTTGGGGAGAAGAGAAGCCCAGTGAGGGCTTCAAGAAAGTCCCCACAGGATGGAGAAAGGCACATACACACTGCAGCTCCATACATGTT